CAAAATAGTAAGCTCACACTCCAAAATGACACAACATCAAGTTCCATTACTTCTTAAAAAAAAATGGCGAGAGTTCATAATCTTAATAAAAGGAAGCCTCTAATGCTTTTCAAAGAGGAATATGAAAAACCTTTCAAAGTAGTGAATCCATCGAGCTTAAATAAGCTTTTTATTTTTTTCAAAATAGCCAACAAATCAACAAGCCCTAGAACATTCAAAGGTCTAAATGAACATGAAATCATTCCCAAATTATCCAGCAATATGAGTGATAGAAACATTCATCCAATAATTTCGAGCTAAGAAAACAACCATAAAATGACTTCCTCAAGCAAATATATTCTCATGTGTTGAAAAGAAGGTAAAGAAGGAGGTTACCTTTTGATGCATCCCAAAGAAACTTCAAGATCAAGCCTAACAAAATTTCAACAGCACCTCCCCTTTTTACCAAAGTTAAAACAACCACAATACCCCCCCCCTATATGGGGTGAGTTGACCGCGACAAAGACTGGGAAAGTGGCGACGAATGACCCAGAGGGGAGTGGCGAGCGAGGCAGAAGAAGTGGCGTGCAGGAAGGCAGGGAGAGTGGCGAGCGAAGCATGTGACGTGGAGGCAGAGTGGCAAAAGACTTCGGTGGGGGGCCTCGAGCTGAAGAATTGTGAAGAGGAGGAGAGGGGAGTTCGATAGGAGTTAGGGTTCGGTCGGGCTCGCTACCGGGGAGAAGTCGGGAAGGAGTGGCGCAAAATGTGGGGTGTTTGGCTGGGAGTGTGCGTGAGTTTTTTTATTAGGTTTTTTTTTTTAATTTTTTTATATTATTATTATTTACTTAAAATCTATGATTTGTGCAATACTGGTTCGTGCACTGAATCTTAACAATATGGGTGTTTCTCCTAGCTAAAATTGACGTTCCGGACGCACTTGCACGATCTGTTTCTTCATCCGATGTCGTCCGGACAAGTTTGTCTACGGTCGGGTCAAAAATGCGTCAAATTTAATTTTCTTTTAATTTTGAGTTCGTGATCGATTGTTTTGAAAATTAATTTATTCTTTGATTAATTGTGAGTACTTTATAGGTGTAGATGATATGAATATATTATATTTACGTGCGTGAATGTATGAATTGCGGTGTTCGTGTATTGTGAATACACATGAAAGTCATAATAGGCTTCCTAAGACTTTTTAAATCCTATGGCAACTCTCTTTGGGCCCTAACGTGTTAACACCCGTACAACTCTTTCACTACCTCAATGCCTATGACTAGGGTTTGCATCGACGTGATCAACAAGTGATGACAATTCAGTGGATATGCTACTTGGTTTTGACTTTCTGCCTTGTGCCTAAGCACGAACTGCAACAATGCCAAAAATTCCACCCAAGATGCGTGTCACCCTCTCAGTTTATTCTTGCTGTTTAAAAATTTTAAAGCCTCATGATCTGTGAATAGTGAACTCCTTCGTCAGTAGGTAGTGACTCCAATGATTAAGAGCTCTCACGATCACATTGAATTTCTTGTTGTACGTTGAATATTTTCTCCTGGGCTCATTGAGCTTCTCACTTAAGAATGCAATGGGGTGGCTTCCTTGACTCAATACTGCTCTGGTCCTTACATTAGAGGCAATGTTAAAATTGATGCTCGAGTCACCTTCTCTTTTAGTGTGTCGAAACTAGTCTGAGCTGCATCTGTACACACACTGGAACTATCCTTTTTCAACAGCTCTGTCAGGGGTGTGGTGATGATATTGAAGCTCTTGATTTATCATCTGTAGAATGATGCTAACCACAAAAACTATCTTAGCTCGGTGAAATATTGAGGTGCGATATAACTCACAATGACTTCGATCTTAGTAGTATTCATCTGAAGGCCTGTACTAGACACAATATAATAATAAAAAAAAACTTGCGCTGTCAGAAAATGACACTTATTTAGATAGGTGTACAAATTTTTTGATCTGTTCTCAGGTGCTGCAATTGCTCATACTCATGTTTACTATTTCCGTTTGACCTTACGTCTACAGGCCCACCTTGATGCTCAAATTCTCATGTCCTCCATATTGTGCTTCTTCTCTCGGTCTCCCTGATACCAAATTTCGAAACGTCGGGGTTTGTCTTTCTCTTCACTAAAGTTTTTCCTATAAAAGGGATTCAAATCTTCTTCTCTTTCTCATCTTCAACTCTCCAATTCAAGATCGATGATGATTTGCCCCTAGGCTCCGTCATCAATGTCCGTAACCCTCTGCTGAAGTTGACAGATCTCATGCAGTATCTCTTTCTGAGTAGGTTCTGACGTATGTTTTCTTGGTGACATGGCTAGGGTTTGTGATTTGGAAGAGCTTATTGGGGATAGGAAAAATTTTTTTTGGAATGGAGATGGTCTGGATTTGGCGGATGCTAGGAAACCCTATGATGGGATTAAGGTTATGTCAAATCTAATACCAATTGATATATGAGTTAAACACAAAATCAGATAAGAAAATATATTTTTATCACTCCAAAACAACATGGTTACAATCAAGACTCAAAACAGGAAAGGAAAACAACACAACAACACAACACGAATCTCCGGCTAGGGCGGATGCGAGATAGCTGGTGGACAATGGTGAGAGGAGCTAGGAGAGGTGGTGGCAGGATGGAAGGGAGCATGCTTGCTTGCAATTGGAGTAGGGAGAGGGATTAGGGGTGGAGGTGATACGAGAGGGCTGAAGGTAGATGTTGGTAGGAAGTGGGGGTGCTAGACAGGTTGATGACAATAGCAGGTGGTGTTGGGGGTGTTTTGCGGTAGTTGTAAGGATGGTGTAGGGCTGGCGGTAGGGAACATGGAGGATGGGGTGTTTAGCGGCAGTTGGAGGGTGTAGTTGGGCTGGCGACAGTGAATAGGGAGCATGGGGTGTTTAACGGCAGCTGGAGAGGCCTAGTAGGGCTGGCGACATAGTAAAAACAACGATGGGGTTGTAGGGGGATGGCAACAAACAGGGAAGGGGGAGTTGGCGAGGGTGGTAGTCACCACCTTGGAACAGGATACAACAGGAGTTTCACCTGTCCTCGGATACAACCCTAGCAAGGGGAAAACACCGACAATAGAAATCTGAAATTAGGAAAAACTAAACTCTAACACAGAAACAACATATTTATAACCCTAACATATGCTGGGTCAGCTGTTTCAGCCTTAGTACCAGCGTTTTTTATTTTGTATTCAGCTCTTATTTATGGGCCGTGATCCTTATTTTACAACTTTTTTGAATATCAAATTATTTTTTTATTATAGCAGACTTTGTTGCTCGTTTTTTTTTATTTGAATTTAACAAGTATCCATTTTCTTTTCTCGTTGTTCTAGTTAAAAGTTTCTTTATTGAGAGCAATTTTTTTTTTAAGAAAATGGTTTGTGCCAGGCATGTTTAGTAAGCCATTTCTAACGCTGAATTGGGCATGACTATTTGTTTCCTTTTGCTTGCCATTTTTATTGATCATATGCCAGTCTTTGGTAATCTGCTTTCTTTGTTTTTCTTGTTTAGGATCATCACGGGCTTAGCAGTCCGGGCTACTAGTTGTTGTTATCATTATCGTACTAGGACGCAATGAAAAAAAAAAAGGATTTATGTAGCCTTGTTGTTGTTGTATTCTTATCCCAACTAGTGATGGTTGGCTCTATGAATTCCTATTTTTCTTTTTTTTTTTTGCTGAGTGCCGCTTGAGTGTTAAGTCTTGTTCTTCTCAAATTATTTTGCAATAGCATATTATACTTTTTGAAAATTTCTTTAAAAAACGGGCATTGTTTGATTTTCTCTTATTGTTGATTGTTCTAGGTCATGTTTATATTGAAGCCAACATTCCATACAACTTCTATTTGTTTGAGTATTTCTGTTCCACATATTTCCCATGTTTTCATTTTCTCCACCCCTCTAATTTTACATTTGTTTTGATCATTGTCTCATTATTAAAGGTAAAAAAAATTTAAATTGGATGTTCGAACTGCAAGAAAATTTGAGAAGTTGATAAATTTGCAAGATGAGAATAATGAATTTTAAGAGTAAAGCAACATGCTGATTTTATTTTGATTTTTTAATGCGTCTTTTAAGTTTCGGCATATTGCAAGGGTGAAACTCTACTAATTTAGCCATATACCCTGAGCTTAGCGAATGATTCATAAAAGATTCAGACATTCTTTCACCAATTTTTTTCTTGTGGCACCATCCTAGACAACTCATGACCTAGATCTTGAAGTAAATCATTGTTCATATGATCCAACCAATCTGCAGATAATCAGTGGATTTTGTTCTCAGGAGCGACTCATTATTCCCAAATACAGCACACAACTCTCCATTGCGTTGCACTGCACAACCACATCAAAACATGGAACTAGGGGCAATTCTGAGCACAAAAGCATCATCATATATCCAGCTCAAATTGCTAGATATTCAAAGTTCCAACTACTAAAGTGCTATTTTAGGTCACTTAGGTGACAATAGAAACTGATTGCAAGGAAATTTCAGAACAAAAAATATTATCGAAAACTTCTCTTGTATCGAACCCATCATGGGACTCCTAAAAAAGATAAAGTGAGACCCTATCTCTCTCAAGCATTTGTGAAAGCTCATCATCGTCATTATTATTATTTTTTCTGGGCAATGAACCTAAGATATTGCTAAAAGATTAGACGTTCTATGTTTAGTGCTATATTTGCCGAACTATAAACTTCAGTATAAGCTATTAATACATCCTTTTTGTTCTAAAGCGAGTTTCCTACCAATTGTATTTGGACCGTTTTCTATAATTCAGCCATCAAGCTTGAGTTTTTGATGCATGCAATTATTAAGTTGAAATGTTGATACATGACTTGTGAAATGCTGACAACCGTCTGGCCTTCTCATTCACATTCAACAGTGCATTTATTAAATATTGAAAGGGGAATCTCGTGGCTGAATATGAGTCATGCATATTGATTTTGTTTATGGCTGCAAATATATGTTTTTATTTAATATTTATTATTAATTTTGCTTTCTTCCAGATTTCTGAAGCAATGGATTCGTGGACTAGGAAAGGTTTAATGAACTTTTGTTTGCGGTCTATGCCGAATCGAGCTGATGTTCCACAAATATCTGTGGAGCTCTTAGGTAGCCTTTCCATTTCAGATTTTCCCACTGAGAGGGTTTATACGCAATGGCAAAGGAGACAGGTAATTCTTACATCATCTTAGTTGATCTCTTTCAATTGCATGCTATGGGAATACTTATCTATTAGACAATATTCTTATTTCAGGTAGATATACTTGAGGAGCTACTTACAGATCCAACCAACTCTGTTGCCAGTGAACAGCAAATGCTTTCTTATCTTCTTTCAAATATAAGGAACCTAGAGGCAAAATTTCATCTCTTCTCTATTATTGATAGATTCTAGTAAATGCTAACCATAGCCATTTTCTGGGGTTCATTGGAAATGCAATTTTTATTGTCGGCAAACTGTTTCCTACCTGCATTCTTTTTTCAATGTGTTTTTTATAATTTGTTCATGATAAATTAGTCTCTGGTTATCATGATTACAGGAATGGGCAAATTTATCTCATGAGGTGCGCACCGATACTCTGGATTGGATAGGAAAATTCATTTCTAGGATGTGCAGTATGCCTGAAAAACTTGGTGTTTCAGATGTTGCCTATTATTGGACTGGCAGTTATTACTTTACTGTAAAACTTTATGAGAAGTTACTCTACAGTGTTTTTGATATCCTCGAAGATGGTCAGATAGTAGAGGTTTGCATAATCTTTATTTTTTTAAGTTTAGCTTTGTAAATTGTTCTGCGCCATCTTGAATTGATTGAATATGGTATTCCAAACTTTATTCTTAAATTTTCTTTTGGTAGGAAGCTGAAGAAATCCTTGGTGTTCTGAGGATGAGTTGGTCCATGTTAGGTGTTACTCAAATGATGCATGATGCATTATATGGTTGGGTACTTTTTCAGCAGGTACATCTCTTCTTTTAGATACAAAACTAACTATGAATAACGCATCATATTTTTGAGATTGTTGGACCATTTCAACAAGTTTTGAAGATTACGACGTTTGTGAAAATGAGGATATACTAGGGAAGAGCTTGAAACTTAAATGCTAATGTTAGGCATAATGAATTTTAAAATATTGCAATAATTCTGGATATTTAATATATTCTTGTTATGCATGGTGAGTGCTAGCAATACTTTTTTGTATATTATATTGTTCGTGAATGTGATTATTTGTGCCTGGAAGAAAGAAAGAGAAGCTACCATAATTAAACAAAAAATAAAATTAATTGGATATTGGAATAATATCCAATAATTTAATCTCATTAACAACCATATACAGTATCTTAACTTGAAATTTTAGAAGAAAATTTTTTTAAAAAAGATTATTTAAGGGTTTTAATGAATTATTTTAGATTAAAAAGCTCTTCTCTGATCCATTTATCATTTGAGCTATAAGATGTCCAAGGCAATGGCCTTTCTAAAGTGACTAATGCAGAAAGAGCTAAGCTATAATGGTGGATGATTACCAGAGGGACTAATGCGTCAACCCTCAACAGAAGTATGTTTTCTTAGGCACTTTGAACGTACACCATAAGATGATAATAAGTTCATAAATTATAAGGAGAACTGCATATATCAATTGAAATCATGTTTTTTTTTCAAATGTAACACCAAAACTGGAAAAATAAAGGCTAGCCTAGCAAACTGTACCATTTGTTTGTGGAAAAATTTCCATGACATTCCAGTACTTTGTTTTACTCCATAAACTTATAGTTAGTAATGGTTTTTCACCACTTAGTTTTTTTAAAAACCTATATTCATGAGTACCCATCAATAAAAGTAATGGTTTTTCACCACTTAGTGTTTTTAAAAACCAGCTCATATATTCATGACCACCCATCAATATATCATCACCATCATCATTAGCCTAGTGCCTACTATTTTGGACCTATTTTTTGAATTCTAATTTTCATTTATTCTTACCGAGTGTGACATGATGTGTTATGCTTTGTTTGCACAAATATATATATACAAATTTTTTTGGTACACCATTTTTAATATTTATCCTTCTTTATTCATTTTCTTTTCATATACTTTGACATTATTAATATTTCCCCATCTTATTGGTGCAGTTTCTACCATGCTTTGTTCATAAATCTATCTTTCACTTTCTTATGTTCAATAGATGCTTCTCCCACTGTCCTTGTATATAAAGTATTAGTTATTATTCCTTGTTTTTTTCACACATCTGTCTTATTATTCACTTTCATATGATTATTCTTACATGTTTGAATTGAAGTTTAGAAGACATAGAATGATGTAAGCAGCGATAATAATGAAATCTTTTTTAATAGGAATTAATCATTATTTGTAAATTTTTAAGCTAAAACAATTAATAGGGTTATAGGAATTTAGACTTCACTTCTCATAGGTGGATTAGGAGCAGGGTGATATAAATCCAATTTCAAGTTGATCCACTGCTGGATTAAAAGTGGATTTAACCTATATGCCGTCCCAAAATAGGCTCGTGGCAAGAATTGATTCAACTTGATTTTGAGCTGCTTAAATTTGAATCAAGTTTGCTTGAAATCATTTACCTTCAATTTTATATTTTTTAAAAGATATTTTCGTTCATATATGCATATTATTTCATACATATACTAATTGCGATTATGCATGTCTATCTATGCATTTTATTTCAAGAAAATATGTATTTATATTTTGAGCCGATTTAGTGCTGGTTCAATTCAATCCAAGCCTAGCTTGAAATTGAACGAGCCAAAAAATTGGGCTTGTGGCTTGATTTGAGTGAAAAATTGATTCAATTCTCCAGTGTCGATCTTCTAGCTAAATTGTCAGCTCAAGTTGGGTAAAAGTTATCCGCCAATTTCATAAATAATAATGTGCTGTTTTGTTTGACAATAATATATTTATTTTTATGCTTATCTTAAGATGGTTTTGATTCCGGTTGAGACTGATGATCTAAAAATTTTATTTAATGTCTCCTTATTTTTTCCAATGACTTTGCATATGCTACTTTTGTTTGCTTAAATTAAGTGTCTTTATTGCTGAGTGGACCTTTACATTGATTTTTTTTGGATTTGGAACAATGATTCTAAATTATTCCTGAGATTTTGTAGAAATTGAAGGTTTGGTTTCTATCTTGGTCTCCCTCATGTTGATACGCTGCATATTGTAATCAACAAATCTAATGGAAAGGGATTAATTTGAAATTGACTACTCGATATTTTTCCTCATGATATAGCAAATTCTGTGTATGGGTTGGTTGATTCCTCCTAACAAATTGAGATTGTTCAATTCTAATAGCTATATTCTAATGGGCATCGCTCTGCCAGGCTTTTGTTTTTGGAAACGACGCTGCTTCCTGTATTGCTTTGCTTTCTCCATCCATCCAGTAATGGTATTGGCCCGTATTTGGTAGCTGATGACAACTATCTTGTTTATTGATAATGTTGTTCTAGAAGTGTTATTTGTTGCCATTTTATCTCATAAACCACTGTTTTGGAATGAAATCTCTAATTGTCTTTTTGAGTTTTGTTTAATGTTGAATTTTTTTAAGTTCCTCTTTAACTTTGAACGTTCTCACCTCTAAGAGATATTTCTTCATTCTCTCCTAAATCCTGTTTTATCAGTGAAGTTTATGCAAAAAAAAAAAAGAAAAATAAAAAGCTATCTCAAAATGTTATATAGAAGTAAAAAGAAGAGAAAAAGTCCTTCAATTTAAATCTAGTCATTCTAACCTACGGAAATGTTATGAATTATCCCTTACCAATTTGGTTGTTTCCATTTTAACTCTCTCTTGTGGGGGTATGTGATATACAGAATTCAACCCTCAATCCATACATGTGTTCCTTTTTGGGAGAATTGTGTCCCAGTCTTGTGATGGTTGGCACTTGAAATGTTTTGGCTTAGAATCATAAATTAAAAGGTCGATGGTTAAAAATCTAAGTTGGTTCTTCCTCTTGGCATTCTTAGATCTTTCGGTAGCTCGAATATTAAGAAGCGGTCTGTTCTAAATGCTGAAGATTTTGTTGATGGAATTCTTTATTGCTTGAATTCTGTTTTTGTCTATGTTCATCTTTCAATTTTAGGCGAGCTTTTGACACTCCATTTTATTTTCTTTTATAACAACTTTTTTGTTTTCATTTATTTATGCTCCTTAATTAACTACTAAGCTTATTTTCTGGGTTGAATTTTATGACAATGGCGTTAAATGGTTTTCTAATTGTATTAATTTGGTTATTACAATGATATGATTGGTTTTGAAAGGATTTCTCCTAATAGAAGAAAGCTTCCGGACACGGGTGCTATTTCCCACCAAGGTGGGTGGGATTTGCAGGATGGGTCGGAATCTCCGCCCCAGGTGATCCCTTAACATGATATTTTCAGCACTTGAAAGATGAGTTAGAATCTCCGGGCCTTGTGGATCCCATATCTATGTTTTATTTAAATATAGTTAGGGTTAATTTTTGCTTTATTATTAGTACATTGCTTAACCTAGTTTTAGATATTTGCTTTGATTTATGTTATTTGGAGATTTTTTTCTATTTTCTTTTGTTTGGAGTGCTAGAACCTATTCCTTTTGCAATTGGTTTCTTTATCTTGTTCGAGGAGTGACAGGGGATCTCCGTAGACATCCGAGCTTCACCGACATCGCCGTCTACTACAATTCTTATTCTTTGTTGCTGTTATTGTTGTTTTCTTCCTGGATAGCAGTTGGAAGTTGTTTCCTCGTCCAATTTTCAACAAATTCCCATCTTCTCCTCTTATTTTCATTCTATAATATTTCTCCGTTAGTTTGGATCCCGAAAACATCTTCTAAAAATTCTAGAATAGTGTCATTTTGCAGTGGATCCAACTCCTAATTTCAATTGCCAACTTTAACTCTAAACCTTTGAAATCTAACGTTTCTACCTCTACCAAAAGTTTGCCTCTGCGCCACCACCATCTAAAATTTAGCATTCAACCAACTTTAGATCAACAATACTACCCTAGTTGAAACTTTAAACTGATGAGCATGTCGCCATGCCACTAAGGAAAAACCCTCAATGAGGAGTTTTAGGAGCTTAACATGAAGAATGTGCAGTGAAAAATACTCCAATTACAGTGGAGACTTGTTGATCTTCAAAGTCGATAATATTGGGAAGTCAACCACAACAACAACATTGGCCACTTAGAAGAAATGATGAAAATTCCTTTTACCAAGGAGTCTCAAGTGATGAAAGATCAATGCAGTATTTGTTCGATTTTCTATGGTAGGAGAATTCGAACCTTTGGTGCCAACGTGAGGGAAAAAGAAAGATTACACTCTGGTATAAGTTGAAGAATGAGATGGAGTGCAAGTATCTTCTCGCATACTATAGACTAATACCTTTTTGAGACTTTATTGTTTGTTGTAGAAGGATATATCAATAGAGTAATATATTTCTTTTGAACCTCTTATGTTGAAGTGTGAGTTGGTAAAGTTCCATAGCTCGACATCTTGGAGGATTGAGATCATCCATTGATAATGCAGTGTATTTTCACGTCTATTAAACTTTACAAGTTGTCCATACCTTTGTTCTGAATGTGAAGAAATAGCATAGTAGTATCAAGTACACTCCACTCTTTAAACAAAATTCGACCATTTGGGCACGCAATAAGAACACACTGACCAGAGTGCAAAGACCTATCTTTCGTGAGGACAAGTTAACATGGGAGGAAAAAAAATGACTTAATTGGACTAGCAACCTCAAGACTTTTCCTCAGGAAGTGTTTCAAGTGTCATAGATATGGACACGTTGCTTCTAGAGGAGAGGTTACCTGATACTACCTTGGAAGGATGTTGAATCTCTCTCAGAGCTTTGCATCTCCTATGCTTCGATGCAGGCCTAAAGCTTTGCCGCTGGGTTCCTCTGCCTCGACTTTCTATACTTTAAAACTTTCTATGTTTAGGGAAAGTA